CAGCAGCAACAGTAATGATTAATGTGTTATCAGTCATACTGAAGGGTTTGTCTCTGAATCTGTAGGCTCCATCACAGCAGCTGACCTCTGAACCCCAACGCAACACACACACACGTACTCTTAAGTTTGACTTGGGACATTTTGAGGGGGGCATTTAGGTCCTGGACACTTACCTTAACTTAGTTGACACAGTCATTCTAACACATTCAAGAAAAAAGTGCAACTATTGCAGATTTTATTGGAAAACAAATATATTTCAGTAATTTCATTATTATCAAAATACTTTAAAATATATAGTTAGAGAAAGGGACAAAATATATATCTTAAAGTTTACATTTCATAATCACTATGCAATGAAATTAAATTAACTTTACTTTGACTTTGTGACAGTGTATTTTGTGGTCGGCTCCTGCATTGTCTGCTTGCAGTTAATTTATAAAAAAGGCCAGGAGCTTGACCAACATGCATGTCTAACAGCCTAAGGTCTATACTTAATACAGTGAATATGAAAATAGATAGAAAGTCTCAGCTATTTCTTTTGGAAATTGTGGAGTCACGAAGGCACCATATGGTGAGTTTGAATCAGCATTAGGTTGGGCAAAATTGTCTTTTTTGGGAAGAAATGTTTGCCTTTATAAGTCTCAGTAGAGTCAGGGGACATATGGGAGACTAGACATAACTAACCTTTAAACTTGAACCGTGGACATCAATAGCATATAACTTGTAAGTTAGGTCGATTGTTTGTTTGTTTTGGGGTTTGTTTTGTCATGAGATAGTTAACTAGTGAGAGGACTTATCTCTATAGTCTACAACAGATGGAGACAGATTGATACATGGCGAATTATGTGTTTCAAACAAATTATGTTGCACAATGTGTCATCCAACCAAATGTTTTAAGTGTTTCTTGTATAAGTGTATAAATGTTGGAACGCAGGGTGAAAAAACCTCATAGCCTCATTGTGGCTACATCCCACCTTCCTGATCTTTCGCCAAGAACGCTGTGTCTTCTGCATGTATTTGTTGTCTCAACACAATGAATCTTATACATGGGGATAATGGCGCACATTTTCAGACTTGTCCTCTCCTCAAACGCAGTCATAGTGTTGTATGCAATTGTACACACAAGACCTTTCCAAATACACCGTAAAGGGGGATTGCTTGTCCAATTGTATGCTTCAGAAAGTTACAAAAATTATCCCCTGGTCCCGCCGTTGGAAAGGAGGTTTGAGTTCCATACTGAGGCCAAACTATAACATAGACAGAGACAATTTTAACTTTGTAAGATACCACTTTTGTTCGTAGTTACAGAATCTATCCCCAGCCATCCACTTTAATCCCTAAATGTAGCTAACATTATTCTTAGTATGATTAGTTTCATATAAACAAAGATAGGAGTAAAACTATATGCTGTTTTTGGATTATTCTGGTTCGGAGGAAGTATTAGAATAGCAGTGCTTCCTCCCAGAGTGGTGAGTGCCAGTAAATATAATAATAATAAATACAGCGCAGCAACTTGCCAGTGCTTAACACCATTTTCTTTGGCATTGCTGCTATCTGAACCTCGCTTAACCACTCTATATAGAATTTCCCTGCCAAATGTTTGTATTTACTTTACATACAGTATTTATTTTATTACACACAACAGTACATTCCACTGTGGATTTTTAATTTCTTTATTGTTAATCAGCTGCAAAAGCAACATCTGGTGAATGTGGTGTAACATTTGAAAACACATTATGTTCAGTAGTTTGAACAAGGTGGGCGATACACAGGAATGGCTGCACATTCTCTCAGAAGACTATATGACATAATGTCCTTCGCTAATAAGTTGACTACTGTATTATGGCTTGTTATGTAGTATTGCCTTCCTTGTTATATAGATAACAGCCATTCAGACAGTCACACACACACACACACACACACTCACACATCCGTCTTTACTGTTTTCTTCTTGCTATCATCATCAGATGTGTGTGTAAGTGATCCTGTCTTTGTGAGGTTAATTGAAGGCAGGAGCTCTGACTGTCTGAGACATAATCTGTCTGCATGAACAGTGTGCATATGTGTGTGTGTGTGTGTGTGTGTGTGTGTTTGTTTTAGGGGAGGGATGTCTTTAATAAGACCGCACTGGTTATTTATACAAAAATAGAAAAGGAAACACACAGCAACTCTTCTTTATCCCTCCACCTGCTCCCTCTCTACCTCAACTACCCTGCAATACAGATTAGCTGTGTATATGTGTGTGTGTGTGTGTTTTGGAGGGGTGGTGGGGCCGTTCCTGGGGATTTAGGGTGTACAAAAGAAACAAAAAAAGAAAGAGTGATGCCATAAGGCTTGCTATTCTCTCATATCAGCTCTTATTATCAGTCATTTTTGACAGGAGAAAAACCTTTATCTGGGAGAGACTGTGTCCGTCTGGGCTTGCGCGTGAGCGCACACACACACACACAATAAGAGCCACGCTCGGGGCCTTGCAGGCTAGGGCTCACACACACAGAGCAGGTAATCGGCTCACTAGTAGAGTTAGGGGGTTAGAGAAAGGAAGCAAAGAGCTCTCACTAAGTTTGTCCCCCTCTTTGACTGGATTAGAGCTCACCAGTATTCAGTCCAGGTGCTCCGGAACGGTGGGGTGAGGGGTCCACATAGGGTTAATTTTGCCTACCTTGTGTGAGACCACGTCCTGCTGTTTGTTGTCTGACACATCACATATATGGGACATTTCAAATAGTGGAACATTCGCTGCCGTACCTGAAAAAATATGGATCTATGCATTTTGTATTCGCGCATACACATACATACAATACATACTAATTTCCATTAATTAACAAGACGTATGCTCTTTGAGTTCCTTGGGTCTGTTGGGGTTAATTTGCAAACCATTTATTACTTTATTATCATGTCATGTCTTTATTCACGTGACACTCACTACGCCATATGCATAATATTATAACGCCATAATTGCTGACACTTCAAGTGCAAGATTATTTCTTCCTTAAATGAAGTGATAGTGTGTTTCCATTGTTGTGGATGACAGGGGAGGAGACATAAGAGTTAATTAACTATGATTAGGAAGAGCTACAGTCACTGAACAAGCCAGGGTTCTAGCTCAATACTGTGTGAGTAATTGCTTCCTTTACTTTCCTTTCCTTCACTTTCCTTTTCTTTCCACTCACTGCCCACTTATATTTTCCTCTTCTGTCCATCCATGCATGGGAGATTTTCCTTTTGAAGAGGAAAGCTGGAGAGCCCTCTGCTGGCTGATTGTGGTGATTCAACCACAGGCATGAAATAAGTGAACCGTTTATCTAGACTGGGGATATTAGTTTGCTGGACAGCTGGAAGTTTGTACAATTTGTATGGATTATTAATATATCTTCAAGATTTTAGTGGGTTGTGTGTTTGACTCATCAAAGTTATCCAAATAATTCAGTAAAGCATGTTTCTTGTCTTTTTAGACTGATACCAGATAATGGCCACATTTAAAACAACACAGTCAGACACAGAGACGCTATCATTGTGATTAAAATGGGAACCAAACCCAAGCAACAAATATTTTAAGAAATGTTTAAAACATTCTCACATTATTAGACTTTGGATATCAAGATCATCCACAGCAGACAGAAGACAACTCTGACGCTTTATTCATATTGTATTTTGAGTGTTTTCATTATTATTCCATACAAACAGGAGGTGAAGATTAATTCAACCTTCAATTCAGTTCACTTTTATTTGTATAGCACCAAATCATTAAATCACGCCAAAGTTATCTCAGGACTCTTTTAATGTGTGAGGACCCCTGACCTGTGCCCCCACGAGCCAATATTTCAACTAGTGAAAAATGAAAACTAAATGGCAGATTTTCATGATATTTGTTAAGCACATTGATGCTCCTCTGAGTATTGACCCGTTTGACTTTGATGACCCTGTGACTTTTCATCCAGTGCCACCCTCGGAAAAACAACTTCACACTGTAGCCCCGTTATTGGTAAAGGATCTAAGAATTCATAAAGTCTTGCAACTGCCAAAGTTGTAGAGGCTCATAGAGAAAATGCAAACACTACACAGAAAGGAGCAGGTCGCCTACTGCTGTGAGGCAGTGGTGCTAACCACTGAGCCACTGATGCGACCAGCGTGTGTTGCTCTAAATAGTACCACCTGCAGTTCAGTTTGACCTCACTACCTTAACTTAAATTTCCAACTCCCCCTTTTTCAGAGTCTCAACTGTAACCGACACTTCAGCTCCTTTTAGTGTTCACAATTTAACCACAACACTATAACTCCTTTCAGCGCTTGTACTTCAACTGATACTTTTAAGTCTGTAACTCCAGTACCAATGAAAATATTAAGGCTTTCAGCTGCAATTTTTTTGTATGATCCAATGAATAATCTTTTTTTCACTGGTCAGGGAGGGAAAAAAAGCTGTTTTTCTGACTTACCCTTACAGATAATAGAGATTTGTGGTGTTCAAAGCAGTGAACAATACGTAAAACTGTGATGTTTCTTTCCATAAACAATGTTATTCTGGAACAGACAAAGACAAGTCATTCTGTAAAAAGTAGTTCCAATGAAAACTGTTCACTGTGAAGTCTGTGGATTAGTAACTGGGGGCATTGTTATGGGAAATACATGCTGCTATTGAGTTTTTTTAATGTAATTTTACCCCTATTGTTTTGGGATGGTGGCAGCAATCTAAAAGACGAAGATAAAAGAAAATATCCCTCTCCCTGCTCTGTATGGTGCTGATTTTTCTTTTCCTTCTGTTCTTTTTCTTTATCTTTAAATTGTGCAGATTCATCTCTCAATCAGCTCTGTTACATTTGCCCAGTGCCCACTTGAGATTCTTCAGATGGAGTTATGTGTTTTCTGCTTTTTCTGTCTTTATTCTCTCTCTCTCTTCTTGGCTTTTATCTATCATACTGTCTTAAGGTTTCTTCAGATCAGTGGAGTGGAGTGTTTCCTTGTGGTTGAAATGCTATCAGATAAAAAAATCAACTCAGATATGAGAATTCCCAGCATATAAAGCCTCATAGTTAGCAAGCTGAGATATTTTTGTTTTATTGAAACACTTTTATTTAAACACTTACAGACAATTAAAGCATTATATATCATGAAAGCTTCACTTAGATTAAAACTCATTATAATAAAATCTCATTGTAAATGATCAGTGACAGTCATGTAAAAGACCACATCCACAATGTACCAAAATTAGAGGGTTTCCTCTGGCATCCCAACACAGTAAACCTATCTGACCTACAGAATTTGATGGCTATAGTGCTATATTACAGCAGTACTCTGAATCTTACATAAGTCAGCTCTAGGATCAGCATATGTTTATGTGCAATATAGTTTAGTAATTAACAATGTGTTCTGGACAGTTTGATGGCAGCATGTGTGTGTGTGCTTGAATGTGTATTTTTATGTGTTTGATCAGTGGTTTCTTTGAAGCAAACATGCCCCCCCGCCCCCTCCCTCCACCACTCTTGCTCCTCAGTAGAGCAGATAAAAGCTGATATGTGTGATTGAGGGTCCACCCGCTAGTCCACACGCTGCCCATTCAGACCAATGAAAAAGGAGGATGATCTAATATTGTGGCAGTTATGATACGATCACAAGTCTGTGCTTCCCGTTTGGAAAGGAAATTTTGTCTGTATGTCAGCAGAGTGTCTGTTAGAGGGTTTCTGAATTTTAAGTTCGTGTAAACGCGTTGGGAGGGACAGGGAAACATACTAGTATGAAGCAGGAAAGAGAAAGGATTTTAGTGAGGGAGTGAAATGTGATTGGGGTGAAGGAGCCAGGTGGCCGGCCTGCTGTACACCAACCAAACCCACAAACAGCTGTTCATTTCTCAAAGCCCTCTTGTGCCCCCCTACAAGCATCAATTCTCTCTCAACCCCCGCTATATCCATCCGTCTCCTGCTCCACCCCCCACCCCCGCCCCTCTATCCAAACCTACAGTTTCCATCTCCAGTCCAACCACCAATTCCTCCCTCCCAGCTCACTCCAGCTCCAGCTATCCTACTTTGATGGTGTGCCAAAGGCGGGACAGGGGACACAGCTGGTTCACCCATACATGTCTCACCTTTTGCTCTATGGACATTTGCAGCATTAATAACATCAGTTTTACTGTCAGTACAATGACAGGTTGCAACTGAGTGGAAGAGATATTTATACTCACAATATTGGTTCAAAAAAAACAGTCTTGGCACACCATATGTTGCTCCTCAATGCCAGTATCATATACATACACACCATATTAATACCATAAACTGTCACACTCCCTTATTGTGGCATTATCATTCTATAGTAATTAGTGATTTTTGTAGAAATAAAACAAAGCAAGTTATAGAAAACCAAATCATTGACTGACTCCAAGTTGGCGTTATGTAATAACTCAACAAACTGTAAAACATTTTCACTTCATTATGTAATAACACCTGCATTTTGTAAGAAACAGCATGAACACAATATGTAATACATTTCCCTACATTTCAAAATATCACATATTGTGGTTATTACAAAATGTAGGAGTTGCACTATTTTATGAGGATATTGTAATAATATGGTGCATTATGTAACGTCCAACCAAAATCTCATCTGTACGCATGTTATTTTTTTAATAAATAATCTTAATGAAACTTCCCAAATATTAAATTAGACTCATATGATCTGTGGTCCACCTACTTGGAGTCATAGTTGACTCTGATAAAATAAATAAATAGCCACATAAAAGCAATGACAAGATCAGTTTGTTATCATCTTACAAATGCAGTCAAACTCAGAGACTTCATGACAAATGCTTTTATTTCTAGCTGGGTTGACTACTGCAATGGTCTTTTGACAAAAACACCATCAAAACTCTTCAGCTAATTCAAAATGCAGTTCATAAAATAAGTGTGCATCCCACATTTTGTAATAGCCACCACAATATATCATTATTTATTACAAAATTAGGGGAAATGAATTACATATTGGGTTCAGGCTGTTTGCTACTAGATGTGGCAGATTGTTACAAAATGCAGGTGAAGTGAAAATGTTTTACAGTTTGCCGAGTTATTACATGATGTGTTGTACAACATCTTTCCAGCCAGTATTCACATCCCACAAGTGTGCTCCCGAGTCCCAATGCCGGACATAAAAAGGTCAGTCCTTGCTTCCCTTTCAGGCCAGATGGCAAGCTCACTTTCTGGCATGCAACACACGGCCCACCAGCATGAAGACCAAACCAGAGATGAGCTCCAGAGGCACACCAGCAGCCGCCACCATGAACGACAGGCCGTAGAGCACTGAAACCTGCGCCTGTGGACACGCCTTTCCTCTCTCCTGCAGGATGTAGCGCTTCACCTCCACCGCCTCCATCCACAGTACGTAGAGTAGCAGCGTTAACAGGAACAAGCAGGCTGGGAAGTGATATAAACAGTGCTTGGTCAGATTACTTTGAAATATAGTTACTGCAAAGAAATTTCATGGGAATTAATTAATCCAGTGGTTCCCAACCTTTGACCTTAAGGCACTCCTTTTCTATCACTGAGTAAAGTGATGACACTCAATACGATATACTTTATACTCAATGTATTATGATAACAGTACAGAACAACTAATAAACTGCACTTGAATTTCTCCCACAGGGGATCAATAAAGGAACATTTGTACTTATCTGTACAAAAAAAACAAATAGTGAATGCAATAACTGCAGGAAGTTTATGTCAAACGAGCAATTTGAATACATTTCTCCTGTGAATATTGCATCAGAGATTAGTTTTCCTGATATTTTTAGGAACCTTTGCATTTATCCTGTGAGATAATTTTTTAAGATATAATCTTTAAAAAAGCATATTTCTTAACAGAAATGAATTAAATGCTAAATTACACTACTTACTACTACTACTTTAAATAAAGAGCCTTATTACACCCCTTAAAAATCAAGAAGACCTGGGTTCTGGGAAGGTTCTGGGAAGCTTTAGTAACCCCTAGTGGCGGTCATGACCCCAAGGTTGGGATCCAGTGACATAATTTGATGAATTATAAAAACATTGTAATTTAATCTTAATACTTTTGGATTACTTCAAACTCCCAAAAATATTGCATTTTAAACAAAATAAATGGATGCAGCCACCAAAAAAGTCTTCTTTTCTTTAAACATCTCAAAACATTTTGAATGCAAATAAAATACATTTAGCATAGTCAGCATTTACAATTCAAATCAAATGACCAAATATAATTGCACAGTGTAATAATATGAGATTTACCCCATTTCCCCATCAGGAGACCCCAGAGGGTTAATAGAGAATTGGTTATCGTGAAAATGTAATCAAGTAATTGTTAACAATGCTAATCTGGACAGATTATAGTTACTTATTTTTCTAACCTTATTACGTAGTCCTGATTACACGTAACCCAACACTGGACATAAAGAGTATCAGAGACACATGGAGACACAACCAGAGGCCGTCACTGCCGTGAGTAACACCAGAGGAATGCAGCTCCTACTCATCTCTACTGTTACCACGGTAGCAATGTTTAAACCTGCTGTTGTTATAGCGACAGCACTGCAGAGTGACATCTGCTGCTCTGTTTGTCATGTGACAGGTATGAACAGTTGACAGCAGCGGCAGCAATGGCTGCAACATGTGTTTGTGTCTGTAGTTATACCTCTTCCCCCCTGGGAGCAGATAAGTACTATGAACTCCACACATGTACACAGACTGTATTTTACCAGCAGTGATGAGGAAAGCGCCGCCCAGCTTGTATAATTTGTAGCTGATGAAGGGGACGCCGCAGACCAAGAGGAAGGCTCCTGATAGAGCTGCGACCAGGCCAAGGATTATCAGCACGGTCCAGAAACCCCGAAACACTGCAAGAAATACAACCAGGCCACCATCAGAGCAGTAACCTATCCATGTATTTAGCAACCTGGGGTGACAATCTACAATTAAAGAAATCGTTTTTTAGGAAATACACTTATAAGCTTTTTTGCCAAGAGTTAGATACTCTTATCTGTCCATTAAATACTGTATGAAGGTACAGCCAGGAGACTTTGGTGGCTGTTTCATGGGCAAATTTAATTTTTTTAGACTGACTTGACTACTTTTAGGTCAATACCTAAATAAAGTATTTATTTTTGGCAGTGTGGAGACTTCCATTTCGGGATGTGTGTGTTTGTGTGGGAGTGTTACACTCAGTCAGTTTTTGACCCATGACTGCAGTATTTCTAATATTCTAGCAATGACCCTGGTTTGCATGTGTAATAAATACAAAATATGAACATGATCTTTGCACTTAATGCTTTCCCCATTCATTTATACGCTCCTTCAGATGAACCCATGAGCCTTCAGCTCACTGTTACTGTATAATGCTGGTGATATTTTATTGTTATTCTCACTGTGAATGACCAAATGCACATGGTGTTTTTGTGTGTATGTGTGTGAGGAAGTTATTTGTGTTTATGTGTGTGTACAGCTGGGTGACAAAGAAGTCACAACTTACTGAGAGTGTCTTAGTAAGGTGTTAAGCTAACACAAACCTCCAGAACCGCTTAAATGCTCCTTGGCACAGATTACAAGTTTGAGGAACTACAAGAGGGATGCAACACTATTTTTATAAGAGATATTACTTCATTTGTTGTTTTTATGACTTTCCACTCATCAGCTCTCGTGCCCTGTACGGAAGCATCCGCATTAATTATGTTATTTCACTTTCATTTGTTTGTGTTCTTTTTCTCCAGTATGTCATCTGTCTGTAATGTGAGTGAGTTTTATTACCTGCTGTAGCATCATAACTTGGATGAGGCACCTGTCCAAGTGCAACAGGCAGAGGGAAGAGGTAACCATGGACACAGACCTTGGATTCTGGCTGGTTTGCTGCGTGAAAAAGAAAAGGTAAAAATAAAAACAATTTAAGGCTCAAAGAACTTCCAGAGTCAAAGAAATATGATGTGGTTCTAAAGAAAGGAGACATGCACCGTGCAGGGAAAAATAAGAAACACCACATGAGAGCAGAATTTAGAGAAAAGCCAAAAAACACCCCAAATGCCAACACAATCTTCTTGTTCTCATGTATATTTTCTGTCAAATATCCAAATTATAGACATTTTTCTTTCCTGCACTTGTCAGCATGTCAAGCACACCACACCGCGGAGCATGAGACATGCAACCACATTGGACAAGCCCCAACGAAAACTTTTTGCCGCCTCAGAAGGCCCACACATACTGAAGAGAGTGGCCAGGACTGCATGTGCTGTGGGCTCCACCTGAAACACACAGCGCCAGAAGAAGCCCTCGTGGTGCAGAGTGAGAGACGGAGGAGAAGCAGTGACAGCTTCCACTAACAGGGTCTAAATGAGAAAAAGAGACAGACTGACATCAGCAGACAAACAGAGAGATGGACGTGTGTGAAGATGGCTGAACCTTAATTTCTGTCAGCTTTGTCAACACGTCTCTGCTGGCTGCTCCGTGTGATTCTGTACTTCAGTGGTGCAACGGCTTCAAACATGGTTCTGATTATGGCCTGCTCGTCTGTGAGGTTTTCAAGGGGAACTTATGAAACACGCATGAGTGATACTCTCCATTTGCTTGTCAGAAATATGATTGATGGTGCTGAATAACACGCAGCAACTTTAATCATCCGCTTTTATTTAAAATGAAAGACTTTGTTGTGCTGTGATCTTAGGGAGGAGTTCACCGGGGGATTATTTTTTATGAATATATCCCTTATTTTGCATCTTGTGAACTTTCTCACAAATGTGGCATAGAAGAATAATCTGTAAAATTAAAGGGTAACTCCACTGAGTTTACTCGTGAAGATCAGTTGACTACAGTGAGGAAAGAATTATGTGATGGCCCTGGAGGAGCTTAGGCAAGTTTAAGAAACTACCCCTGATGAAATCATCAGGACTATTTTGACTCGAAGAGACCAGTACTGAGTTTATTTGACAGTGCAGAGGGTGATCAAGGCAGGTTGTGGTTACATGGAATGCCAAGCCTGTTGTTTTATATACAGTAGTACTAAATTGATTTCTCAATTATGTTGTGCTGTAAAATGTAATCACTGGCAGGATTATCTTCAGAGGTTTTTTGAACGATTGAAGCGCTACATGAACCACACAGGAGTCACAGGCAGAGGGTCAGGTCCAAGGTTTCATATCCAGAGATCCGTCTGTGTTTAGGTTTAGGCAACAAAAGCACTTTGATTAAGTTTAAGGAAATATTGTGGTTAAAGATTAATTAATACATTGTGTCTCAAGTCATTGCTTACTTTTTCCATATTAAACCAGATGACAATCTTTCTCTAACCAAGAGTTGCCTAAAAATAACCATAAATTTAATAATGCTGTAGTCACTATAAAAGGATACTGTATGTAAACAGTGTTGTGAATGCGTCTTAAAGCACTCCAGGGAGTACACATATTTAGCCATGCTAGCCATTACATGAGGACTGCAATGTCTGGTCAGGTTCCACCACTTTGGTCCAGAGTTAAATATCTCAATAACTATGGGATGGATTCCTATTAAATTTGTATAGACAGTCACAGCTCCTCCCACTGTTGAACTCATCCATAATTCAATATCCCTTCTTTCTATAAGCCTCAGCCTTTGTGTTTATTGCTAATCAGCAAATATTAACATGATAACATAGCGTGCACCACACATAGAGAGTCTGACAAAAATATGCTATTAGCTGCATGATGGGAAGTTTAGTGTCCAGTGTTTTTGAAGTTTGGCCCATACTAAAAGTCACAAAAGTCGAAGAGTCAGGATGTCTTGACCTTTGCTGCATTGATTTGGTGCATTCTCTTTTAAATAAAGTCCCCAAACTTAAGACTAAAATATTTTGGTACCCCTTTAAATGTCTTATAGTGGCGTGGCGTGCACAATACTGTCTACATAACAACTGATCATGTTCCACATTGGTCGTTTGTGGTCTCACATGTGATATTTCAGTGATAAAAATAATGCACTGGTGTGACTACTATTATTTGTTGGAGGTCACACAGCAAGTAGTAAGGTTTGCATTCACTGTATTTATTTATGTGAGTGAATGTCAACAGCTACGTGCACACATGTTTATGTCCTACCTCAGTCCCATTGGCATCTTTTTCTAGTGTTTTTTGCGTCGGCCATGTATACGGTCCACAGTTGTCGCTGGCCACCAGCCAGTAGTCTGTACCAAAGGCTAGGAAGAAACACAGAGTCCCTAATGCCCCAAATATCCCCGCAGCCAAGGTTGCAGCACCCACCCTCATAACTCCAGCCAAAAACCTCCTTTACTGTGCTCTTTCTCTTCAGCTTTCACTCTTCTGGCCAGTAATTCCTCAGGTCCCTACTGGTGTCCACTCTGCAACCCTCCGCCCAGCCCCAGTCCTACAGAAAACAGCCTGGCTCTCCCAGCCACTCCCTGGCATGCTGGGAGCTGTGGTAGAAAGACGTTTCAGTAACTGAGGAGGTCAGGCAGGGGGGCAGGAGTTATTTTAGGAAGCAGTAAGCCTGTCCTTGTCAAATTACTGATGGGTGTGTGTTGTGCATTTATAAATGAAACAAGGAGAGGCAGGATGGTTTGTGTGGACAGTGAGTATCAGTATTTATGACTGCAAGGTATTTCTAAGGGAGGTGTTACACTTGGAGCGCCACTTTGAAAATAAATTAGACTAGAGATGCAAATGACCCTCAAATCCTCTTCTGAAGGTGTTCAGGAGGTAAAACACAGAGTTAAGGAAGGCAGTAGCTGGCAAAAACTCAAAATGTTAAAACCAGAAGTTGAATTATTTATTCAATTATTACAGTTTTAATTGGAAGATGACCATGAAATTGATAAAAGCTTTCATCAACCCAGTCTTAAAAACCCACAACTCTATGGCTAAATAAATATGAGGTATCACTTTATGGAGCCAGTTTGAAATAACTGAACACACTGAATTCATTGGTTTACTGTCCTTATCCTCTTTTTCTGTCTTTCTCACAGTCTGTCTTCATTGCTGCTTCTCATTCTCCAAAACAAAGCTCAGTTGTTTCTTAGGAGCTCTTCCCACAGGCGCTTGGTGGTGTGGAGAGATCTGGTCCTCTCTGGCAGCTGAAGGCTTTGGATCCGCTGGCCCCGTCTGAGCTGAGGCTGCTGGTGCTGATAGGTCCTGGAGGACAGGTCTCGGGCTTGTGGAGCACACTGCCAAGAGAAGACCCACAGTCAGAAAAGTCACACTAAAGCTGCCAGGATCAAAGATAAGGAGGTAGATAGAGGAGGGACAACTTGAGATTAGCCTGTATTCTTATAGCGAACGCTTGAGAGAAAGCAGATGAGCAGAGAGACAAACTACTAGAATTGTGCATGGATACAAACAGTTATTTCTTGAGTTATAATTTTAGCTTGAACAGTCTTTCTGTTGAACTCCCTGACATCCATTTACCAGTGATATCCCACTTCAGTGTCTTAGATAAAGACACACAAGAAACACACCATACATAAATAAATACATCTTTGGGACCTCAGTCTGGGATAAAGGTTGTAAACTTGAAGGAAAACTGCAGATATTGTCTAATATGTGTTTTTTGTACATCTATAGGACTTAAATTGTCTTTGACTTTACCTGTGTGAGACCTGTTGAGTCCTGGTCTCACTCTGCGTGAGCCATTGAACTCTCCATCCTCCCCCTGTCACAATGGAAGTACACAGTAAAACCATTTGTGTGCTTGATAGTCTAAAAAACAAAAAGTAACCTCAAAAAAGTCCCATTTATTCTATTTTAAATAATTTGATATGTAAAGAGTTCGGTCTAGACCTGCT